TATAGATTTTTTAGACTAGATTAATAAATAGATTCTTTTAAAATTTTCAGGTCCATTTCGATTCAAACATGTAACGAATGATTTTTAATAAATACTTACAGTAATATGTATTGCGTAAAAATAAATTTACCAAAATAGGGTCCATAAATACTGTCATACGAACACTAACCAGACCTCATCGTCAAAGTAACACTTTTAGATTGGAAAGGAATTTGGATTAATAGGCTTATTTTTTTTTGAAAACAAACATTATCCAGTTTAAAAGAAAGTGCTGTACAAAGAAAGCTCGTAAAACAAGTGAAATATTTGCTTACAAGGCTATATACACAATATAAAACGATGTATTTGAAGAAATAAACATTTCCTTCTTGTTTTTGTAATCCGATGTATAAAGATATGAAAATTGAAAACTCTGTGACATTTGACGTTATTTTACAAGTTTTGATTGATATTTCAGTCCCCAATTGTGTCGCGGATACATCGTCAGTTGTCAAAGAGAAACAGTTCTCGCCTATTCGATCTATTTCTTTGTTTAGTACAAGTTTGTAACACGCAGATGTATCAGTAATACCGTGTTTGATAGGATAGGATTTTGTACTCTACGTAGATTTAATAAGGGATTTTTCTTTTTGATCTGTGGTAAATAGATTTTAAAAGTTTTGACACTCGGATACTTTACGGTTTTCTTTTTATTTGTATTAAAATACGCACATACAAACATAAAATTATGTAAGGTGGTATGTTACATACATTATGTATGTCAATAACAAAAATATACGCCATTTTACATTAAATAAGTTTTATTATGTTGCATAAAGACAGCTCCCGCACTAGAATTATATACTGTGACGCGGGGGACTTTACAAACATACATGAAACGGACACAAAGAACACAACACTGAGTAGGAATCGAATTCACCACCTCTGGTCTAGCAGTAAATATCGCTAAAGACTCGAGCAACAGGCCCGTTCGAATCGATCGAATCAATATGCAAATTCACCTAAAAAAGTAAAATTAAAAAAAAGTTCATACGATCTTCATAGGTAACAAAACTAATTTTAATTAGGGATTCGGTGATGATATATAACGGTCGAATGTTTCGATTATATAAGTAAATGGATTATTCTAGATTAACTAGCGGCGGATAGTAGAACATCCGATTAAAGAGTAATTAGGTAAATGAAATACGGGTGGCTGGTATATCTATACTTAGTATTTTTTAGTTTTTTAATTATCTGAAATATTTGAAACATAACATAATACTAAAAACATAGGAAACAGTTATTATTTTGGTTAGATACACATAAGATAGGATAGAAATAAATAACAGTTTATTGTATAAAATTCAATAAAATCAAAAACTGTGCTTTTACGGAACATAGTGTGTACTAGCTATTATTATGTAAATTACATAATACACTAATTTAATTGAATTAAATTTAGAATTGAACTTTTCTCACTGAATTTACTTTAACATATAATTGGAGTGCGTACATTTGCACACATAAGCAGATAATCACAGATTATTGTTCCATGTCACCATAGAAACGGTTTCTGCTGCTGGAAAATAAGGGGAAGTTCCACTTTTATCTATGTTCTTTGACAATTCATCGACAATTAAATATACATTATTTCCTCTTTGCCCAAAATAATCTGATATCTTTTCATTAAACGAACTAAAGATAAGGTAGGTATTTAACTGGTAATGTTTTCTTTCATTTTCAGTTCAATCTTTGATAAAGACCATTTCTCCTATACAAGCAACATCGATTTCGGAAGATAAAACTTGTACTTTATGAAATGTACCAAATTTTGTATGCGATGCCTTACCTCAATGTTTATTTAGGTTTGTAATCCCATGTGAGGTCCTCGCGTTTGGTAATCGAAGTTTGGCCGCTATTTTTCCAGCATGGCCCGTTATGAAGAATTCTTTATAGATATATTCTTTTGGGAAATTCACGGTTTTATTTATCGTTTTCTGCCGGTGTTAGTTTGCCTGACCTTATATGAAACATTTTAGGTTAGCCTTTTCATTAAATATGAGCCGAATAAAAATGAAGTTATAAAGAGTTAAGAACAGAAGAAATCTGCTTCAATTGCCTCAGATTATAAGCACGTGGAATAGGATACAATAAGTGACACTTGGTATTGCCATGAAGTGTTACCCAACTTTGTATATTTGTAAATTAATCTATCGTTAACACATGTAAGCAAAAACACTTATTCCTTTAAATCTTCTTCAAATCACAAAAATGGAGAAGTCAGAAACAAATCTTAATAAGCAAAACAAGTGAGTGTGTAATAAATTTATTCTCCAAAATTTGCGTTGCGCGTCTAACGCAATTTCCAAAATTGAATACACCGCTATATTCCGGAAAGCTGCTTAAACTCCTAATATGTGTGTAGTTCCCTGTTGGGTGAGAGTGTTAATATTGATTTAACGAAGTTAAACCCATCTGCGAATTCCGCTGTATATGGTATCAGTACGCATGTATAGTCTGTGGTGCACTCTGCGTGATAGGCCTTAGTACACTATACGTGTATAGTCTGTGGTACACTCATAAGCTTGTTTGTCTATGGCTGCTTGCTATGCTGTTAATGTCCGGACACGCGCGAATTGCGTTGTGTGGGAGAACGTATATGCGGCGTTATTTGATTATAAGTTTTTAGGGCTATGTGTGGAATTGTAATGTCTTCGTATGATTTTGTAAATGTATTTTTATAGGGTTGTTAAAATTTTAGTTGCAGACGTCCATATCCCGCCTTTACTCCGAAAAGAAGACAGTCGGAGAATTTTCGTAGATAATGAACTGTGAGAATTACAGGTTATTTAATTGAATATCTGGATATTTGGTAAATCCACACTAATGTTATAAATGAGAAAGTATGTCTGTCTGTTACCTGTTTACACTGCAACCGCTGAATTGATTTAAATGAAATTTGGTATAAAGATAGTTTGAGTTCCGGGAAAGGACATGAGATAGTTTTTATACCAGAAATCATCCTATAAGGAGGTGAAAAGGAGTGGAAGATAGTATTTGGGGAATGGAATGATGGAAGAACATAGGCTACTATTTGCCGACTTACTATCACCGACACAAACGCTGGCGAACCCGTTTGCAAATCTTGTTAAATGTATGTTTGAATAAATATGAATGATAATAAAAAATAATGTAATTAATAAGCACGATCAAAATCGTGAGTCTCCGGATAATCTCCGGATATTTATGAAATCCAAAAAAAGCCCTCATCATTAGGAAAGTCTCCGGTATAAATAGCTCTAATCCATAGGCCTAACTTTTTTTCCATTACTTGTTACAAGAATAGTAGAATTATTTAAAATAAGCTTATTTTAATAAACCAAGCTACCTTATTCATCATCAACAGCCTTTAACAGTCCACTGCTGGACATAAGCCTCTCCTTAGAAAGGAGGTTTACTACCTCATTACTTGATATATTTTTTTATTTCAAAAGATAAAACATAAGTGCAACTGCTGTATAAAAGCACGAAACTATTGTTCAAATGAAGATCAAAATAGTTCTACTAAATTCCGTCGTAAGTTCAACAGTTTACCAAGACTTTATTCAGATACAAGGGTAGAAATTGGCTTTAACTTCTGTCTAGCCTTTCGTTTTACAGACTGCTTTTTACTGGAAATGTTTGTTTTTGTTTTATTTACAGGTAAAATGTTTGCTTCGTTTGCTAGAAATAATTTTTTTGTAACGTAGTTCCTTTTTTTAAAGAAATATTTCGATAATGTCGTAAATAAATACTGACATGGAGTCAACCGTCAGTTCGTCAGTCACACCTTTTTAAGTGGTTTTTGGAAGTGTTTGCAGTATTTATTAAATACAGCATACAAATAAAAATCCTTTATTTATAATATATATAGCAAACGACATTATACAATGTAAACTGCCCAAAATGAATAATTTGTAAGTATAATGCAAAATTTAATTTGTAAATCGGGGTATAAACTTTGTCCCCGCCCCTTGAATTCTCATGAAGACGCTCACTAAATCGCACTCGCAACACACTTATGACTCCTGATGATCCACAGTAGAAAGCATGGACGGGGTCGTCACTTACAGGTGTCAAAAAGCTATTTTTTTTTGTTAAATCGTAAGACATGGAAGTACAGGATATACTTCTAACTCTCGTGATCTGATATCTGTAAGTACTGGTACACCAATAAAAATTTACATAATCTTAAAAAGTAACTGTAAAGATGGAGAACCGTTTAAAACATAATTTAGCTGGGCCACTGCTCAGTCGAGTTGCTTGTTTTAAAACATTCCCTCTTCGTAACTTTAATCTGGGATGGAGCAAGGAGTGTTTACCCGCAATTATTCGAGAAAACCGTTAAGCTTTAAGCTCGGTTTTTCACTCTTCGTACAGAATATTAAACAGTTTGTTAATTAAAAATAGTTTCAACGTTGCTTGATGGCATACAGATGCGACCGCCAGTGCTATAAGATTAAATATACAAATATATATCTCTTTGGTTTATTTTACTTTAATTTTAATATTCTATCATCTATAGAATTCGTATTATATCATCACATCATCATCACATCAAACAGCCTTTAATAGTCCACTACTGGACATAGGCCTCTCCTGAGAAAGGAGGTAGTGGTTTAAGCGGTCACCTCGCCGCTTCCTACTGCGCATCACTATGTAAGATCCCCAGATTATTATTGTTCCGAACCTGGGTGTTCTTTGTGTCCTTTTCATGTATGTCTGTAAAGTCTCCCGCAATACAGGGTATATTTCTAGTGCCGGAGTAGTCTTTTTAAACAAAAAAAAAGTAACTTTGATTATTGTTTGTCAGTCCGTTCGAACTATGCGTATGTGACCATCGACTGCTCGAGCAGGCAAGCAATATTCTCTTTCCTTGCACTCTCAACTATCTTTTATTTTCAAGGGACTCCCAATGTAAGTAGAAGTAAATGAACTGAAGAAAACTAGGGAGACGCAAGCCAAAGATAAGAGCGGGATTATGGCACTACTGCTGCCATAATCCCGCTCTTATCTCTTATCTTTGAAGAGGTCAGATTCCTGTACAGGTTCATCCTGTGATTAGAGAAATTACTAAAATAGGGAAAGGTAATAAGACCTGTATCTCGATAAAATCGATTAATGATTTTATCGATCATGCATCTTTTAGTAAAAGCTTTCCATTCCTCGGAACATCGGTTTGTTTTAACTTAGGTGTATAATAAAATCTATGCATCACCCCTCTCTAATCCCTGACCTTCATTCACATACAAATTCATCTTTTTTGTAAGTTTTAAAATTTTGGAACAATGTGTGCATTGTTCTAAAATTTTAAAAACCTTTGCTAGACCAATGTACCATTTGTGATATAGGGTAACTTCTCAACTAAAGCCCATACAGATGTAGATTCTTTATTCTGATTGTCATTTTTCTTTAACTTTACCTTTTTTATTGATTTTTTAATGTACAAGGTTTGTATATCCAAACCTCTATGAGGACTAAAAACATTAACGTAAACAGCCTACATGTACTTCAAATGTGTAAATATACAAATGAAAATATAATATTATTCATTGATAATTACATCTTATTAATATGAGAAACTCTTTTAAAAAACGTTACTTTTATATAAACGTCAGACATATGAATTACAAGATAAGAAAAAAAAACTGAATCATCTCACCTTCCTTTTGAACATACCTATATTTTTAAACATTTCTGTAATACTTGTCAGCTTACTTTGTTATCGCGCTACATAATAGGCAGGAAAATGGCTACGTACATGCAGAATTATGTGCTACGTGGGAACGTAGACTGCTACGCAAGTGCTACGGAGCCTACGCGCTGTAATTAAATGATGTTTTATTAAGGAAGTAATATTTAGATAGCAGTTATGTGCCCTTTTTTCTTATGTATGCTTTTATGAAATAAAGCATTTTTTTATTATAATATTTGGTGGCGTTTTTCTTAATCGTGCACACGTAACAAGTAACTCTTGCAAATATAACTGTAAAGTTTTCATTTCAATCGATTTGGGGAAGGGATTTTAATTCCTAACAAATGTATATAGTAACATACAGTCTAACATTATTAAATTTTATATTAAATATAAAAGTGAAGACATTGTATTATTCAAAAAAAATATTATATTATCAAATTATATAATGTACAGTTAACTTTTCCATTAATTTACAAATTCCATATAAAATCCACATAACATTATACACTCTTAAATGTTATATCTCTGTTATTCAACTTGTCACATAAATTCTATACTAATATTATAAAGCTGAAGAGATGGTTTGTTTGAACGCGTAAATCTCAGGAACTACTGGCTCTTTACTTAATTCTTTTTGTATTGAATAGCCCATCGAGGAAGGCTATAGACTGTTTAATGCTAGACCAATAGGAGCCGAGCATTACTAAAACATGTTGCAAAACTTATTTCTTTTGAGAAATGCAGGCGAAGTTGCTCGGGTCAGCTAGGTATATACATATATATTAATCAGTCTAAATTCACTAATATGCAATGTAAGTTTTTTTTTTCTAATTATACATTGCTGCCGGATTAAAAATTTTTGGTCTAGGGGTTAGTGATCCTGACTGCTAAGCCGGAGGTCGTGGCTTCGATTCCCACTCGTTATAAATAATTGTATGATGAACACAATGATTTGTTGTATGTCTGGGTGTAATTCTTTGATATGTATGTATTTAGAAATATATAAGTATATTTATCAGCAGTCTGGTTACCATAGTACAGGCTCTGCCTAGTTTGGGATCAGACGGCCGTTCGTGAGATATGTGAAGTTTTTCATTATTATTGCTACTTTTCTTTGTCACTGGCCGCGAGTTGGTCGAGAGTGTGCTTAGAACTTTAGCTCTAATTGAAGTAAATCTTTTCAACCAATCAAAGATCAGGTCTTCTTATCGAATCGAGGTTATTTAGTGTTATTAGTATTAAAGAGTAAGTAAAGGTAATAGCAACAAAAAAAAACTAGTTATAACATAAAAAATATAACAATTCACTTACCAATTACAGGTTCCAAGAGACCTTCAGGATCGGAAGCCTCGTCAGCAGCAGCGATAGCCAGCGCTGCTGCTACCACCACCCACCAAATGCGACTCATTTTATCTGCGACAAAAACAGACATACATGATGATAAATACTGGTGTCTTGGGTTGGCCAATTGAAACACAGACGCTCCAAGCATTCAGTTGTATTACAGTTATAGCGAAAATTACAATATTCCACATGTGGTATGTGATACATAATGTAAGACGTGTGTCGAACGTCGTCGAACGAAGTTGTCGAACGTCGGCATCATTTTCTCTTATTTCTGTATAACTTTATCCATGAGCTGTTAAGCAGTTCTATTGCTTCTTTTCACCGAATAGTGAATTAGGCTACCGGAACCCACACTCTTTCTCATCAGGTGATTCGATGGCCCTCTGTACCATAAACTACTTTTAGATCGTACAATACTTTTTCGGTGTGCAATAAATAGTATCTATATATATATGAGTGTAACAGTTCAAACTTGAGGTGCCCTCTAATTTTTATTATTATATGTAACAGACCAACTTATTTTACTAGTGAAGAAGTCATCGGTACTTATAAAACACAAATCATATGATTTTACAAAGTGTCCCATGTTACTCATATTATATATGTTTTTTTTATAGATATTTAGGTCTTTATAAGTTGTTAATAATAATCTTTAAAGAGGCGGGTAGTTTAGGTGAGGTGAATTACTCGCTCAATTTACTCTATCTATATTATTTGGCCTAATGTAATGGAGTTAATCTCACGACTATGTAGGCGCCTTGCAAATCTAAAAACAATTTGTCGCCAATTTACGCCATGCAATCGTCGAGGCAGTCTTTATTAATTTGAATACATTTAAATAATAATAAACGATTACTTTCACATAAGCTTTTCCAGGAGGTTTGAGTGCGTTATAACAGCATAATATTTTCAACCAGAGGAAACTAACCAAGAGGTTTTTAGGAGGACTTTTTATTTATAAAAAAATATCTTAATGCTAGCGGATAAACAATATTATGAGTTTTTTTTAGTGATTTAAACCAGTCAACTTTTGGGTGATGCAGAGAGAACAGGAAATAGGTGCACTTTGGTTAAAGTTTTTAAAGTTTAAAATGTACAGTATAATATAGACATCATGAACGTACAAATCTCATAACTTCTCACATCTCACACTGCTGATAAACATCCATACTCATATTAAAAATGTCGAAAGAGGTCGTTTGTTTGTTACGCTTTCACGACTAAACCACTTTACCGATTATAAAAATTCTTTCACCAATGGAAAGCTACATTATCAGCAAGTAACATGGGCTTCTTTTTACTACGATAACAGACATATACTCGTGCAGAGTCGCGGGAAAAAGCTAGTAAATTACACCCAGACACAGAACAAATGATCGTGCTCCCAAGACCTCAGACCTAGCTGTCGGGGTCACTAACCACTAACCAAACATATAATGTGCACACATGTCGGAAAAGTTTAAGAACCACCATCATGAGAAAATATATTACACATTTTTCATTAAAACATTACCAGATGTCTCTCAACGCCCTCAGAGCACGTTTCTCTAAGATAAATGTATGTAACTTTTTAACATTACCCTACTTTCAAACAGTCTCACAATGTGTTGAAAGGATGAAGGGCTCGAGGGTAGGTTACCCTTTGTCCGAAGTGGGGTCGTTTAGACGCACCCGTTATCCTGCATAAAAATATTTGAAATACTTAGTCATATTTTTTATTAAGTACTTTGTAGAGTTTTTGAAAGTTAATCAGTTGCATAATTTACTTTAATTTTTGAAGTGATAACTTCTTTAGGCACGTTCGGCATTTTTTGAGGTGGGAATAAAAATTGAAATTGCGACACTGTTACCGTTACCGACACGTCTGTATATAAGTATATAAGTTTTCACTTCTGTCGGTACTCCTGGAGTGTTTATTTTTTCTATGGTGGCAAGGGTGGCAATTTTGCAAGAGGTCATTTGATGGTAAGTGAGAACCTCCGTCCATGGACATCTGCAACTCAAGAGACACTAGTGTAATGCTGCCTGTAGTGCCCTTCACCCCCAGAATGATTGGGGAGAGTGGGCCTAAAAAATAAATTGAATGTCATCACATTGAATTTATTTGTATGTCTATTTGTATTATTTCTACCTATGGCTAATGAAATTGTAGTATATAGTAGTTAGAAATATAAATTGAGAGTAGACAATCCAGACTTTTAACTTTATCCACAACGAGGTTTTGTTAACACTGCAGCTGTGGCTTATTATAACGACTAGTAGGAAGGCATAGTGATTTCAGTGGTAGCCTCGCCGCGCCGCTTACTACGTTGCTGAGTGTTGTGGATTCGATCCCTACATGGAACAACACTTTGTGTGATCCACAAATTATTGTTAGATGTTGAGTCTGGGTATTCTTTTTTGTCCGTTTCAATGAATGTTTGTAAAGTCGCCCGCGCGACGCAAGATATATTCCTAGTATGGGAGTTGTCTTTAAAACAATTATTATTGACTTTTATACTGGTAACTTTTTATTAAATGTATGTATGTTATTAAATGTATAGCAGATACAAGAATAATAAAACAAAAAAATACTTTTACATTTAATAAGCAAAGTTTTCAAATGCAATTTAAAATTACCTCAAAATGAAAATGTATTTTATTCTACGATGAAAAGCAACTCAGTTAGCTGTTAGTGACCGACTCAACTCAGCAATCACACCCCTTTCACAAACGCAGCGAAATTTTTACCTCAACCGTTTCTCTTGGTAATCAAAATGAATCCATAATTCATTCATTTATTTAATCTTTTACCATATTTGTAATGCCTTAGAAATTCATTTAATTAAGAGCTGCTTAGGATGTTAATCTTGCACTGCTTTTAAAAGCTCTGATATATAGAACGGACTTCAGTAGGTCTTTGGGTTCTTTAAAGAAATAGGCTAGATTTATATAATTTTTAGGTGTTAAACAGTTCTTTTGTTGCTTTTCAAGATTAAGTGAGGTTACCAGAGATCAACCCCACCCCCTCGCCTCCTGATTCGGGGGAAGGGGGATCCAAGGGCGGGCAAGTGCTCGTGGCAGCGGTAATCACTTCTCATTAGGTGACCTGTCTGCTTGTTTGCTCCCTGTACCATGATTATATATTTGATATATATCCATAAATATATAAATAAGCGTGCTGTAATTGGATATGGGGTCTGAGGTATCAGTTCAGTTCAAAATAGTATTTGAATCCCTGTTCAAGATAATAAGGCGAGGAAACAACATATTTAAAAGGAACAAGCTTACTCTCTCCACACCTCCAGCTTGGTGTACCTCACTCCAAGCTAGTACCGATGCCAAACTATGTTGTTATGTAAGTAGTGTATCCACGCGCTTAGTGTTGATTGATAACCTTGCCTAATTTTTTTTTAAAGACAGCTTCCGCAGTACTAATATCTTGTCTTGCGGGGCACAAAGAGCGGGAGACAAAGAACACCCAGACTCGGAACAACAATTTGTGGATCACACAAAGTGTTATCCCATATGAGGATCGAAGACACAACACTCAGCGCAGTAAGAAAGTGAGCGAAGTGACCGCTTAAACCATTACGTCATTCTTGCAGACTAAAGTGCCATCAAAGTGCAGTGGATAAAATCATATACTCGTAAGTGTAAGAAAATATTTCTATTTGACGGGTCTGTTGGTCTACTGGTTAGAACTCCTGACTGCTAAGCCTGAAGTCCTGGGTTCGATTCCCACATAGGACAAATATTGTGTAATGAACAAAATCATTTGTTCTGTAAAACCATCCAAATATATCAGTATGTTCGTTTACAACTCTAGTTATCATAGTACAGGCTCCGCCTAGTTTGGGATCAGAAGGCCGTGTGTGAGATGTGTTATTATTATTATTTCCATGAAGTATACTTTTAAAGTCGTTTAAAGTTATGTATTTTTTTTTATTCTTCTTTGCCTCTGAGCCTGATTGCCTCTGAGTGATAAGGCCGCCACTTGTAGTTGTCTCACCTACTTTAACTTATTTATTGTATATACCTGGTGTACAATTAAGCGATATATTATTATTAACACCTATATTACTTACGATAAGAAGGCGGTGGACCAATAAATTGTTAAGAATCGTTGATTCAGAACGTGGACGCTTTAAGCTTGAGGAAATATACTTCACGGTCTCCGGTTTGAGAAAGGGTAGGATGGTTCATTGGTTTTGATTAAGATTTATTTATTGATGATTGGAAATGTAACCTTCATGTTTTTCTATTGAGATTCTTTATAAAAATGTTATTTTACTCTTGCCAACCTCTTTTTGATTTCTTAATTATGTTTAATTCATTCTGAGAATGCTCTCAAATTTCCATCATAATTTAAATAAGAAAAATCTCCACTTAACAAGCAGTCGGTTCACCAAGTTAAAAGCCGCTTTACCCCGTGATAAATGTCCTCCGTTGGGTCCAAAACTGTCTATCATTTATAAATATAAATAACCACCACTGTTATAGTTATAGTTATTTTAGGCTTTAATAGAATAAATAAAATATAGTTTAAAAAAAAAACACTTTTTTTTACGTTAAAATGTTTTTTTCTTTTTGAACTTACAGAAAAAAAACTACTTTTTAGTTCGGCTACTTACAAAAACGTCTTTTTTTTGTATTTTTAAACTATAATTATTATTTTTTAGTTAGAGGGGGCAGACTAGCAGACGGGTCAGCTGATGGAAAGTGACTATCGCCGCCCATGAACGTCTGCAACTCAGGAGTCACAAACGTGTTGCCGGCCTTTTAGGAAGGAGTACGCTCTTTTCTTGAAGGTTTGAAGGTCGTATCGGTCTGGAAATACCGCAGACGAAAACCCGTTAAACAGGTTGGTTGTGCGGGGCAAAAAGTGTCTCGAAAGCGCACAGAAATGGAGCGCCATCTATCCAGGTAATGAGGATGAAAATTTTGCCGTGTGGAACGATGGCGGAAATTTGCGGCTGGTATTGGTCCGAACAATTCCTTGGAGCACTCTCCATGATATATGCGATAGAAAATGCAGAGTGAAGCCACATCTCTACGTCAAGGCCAAGGGATCGAGCCGAT